CTGCAAAGAGAATTGAGTTGACTCAGTTGAAGTCAGACCACAATAGAGAATAAGCTTATGCACTTGTATTCAGACAACCAGGCACTAACCATTGCTCTATCCAATGAAAAGCCAACAGCTACCCAGCCTGGTCTGCTACCCTCTAAATAAATGTCCAGGAACTCAGGATCATTATCATTGGGCCCCATTGCTACTCTATAGTCACAGTCAGGCTGTGTCAACAGGAGTACATTGTCTCTGTCAAGCAGTTTATCATCCTGCAACAAAACAAAATATTACAATAAAAAGGTGGACTTATTCTTCTTACAGATTCTGGGGGACATTTTTTATCAAATTGAGCAAAGGAAGCACCAAAGAGAAGGAGAAGGAGAGAGACAGAAAGGGGCGACATTATCACTTTCCAGATATCTGCTAGTGATGGGCGGTATCGGTTCCAAAGTATCCGGTTCCACGGTTCCAGTGCTTGACTTAGTGGTACCGAATCCTGAAGTAATACCGACCGAAGTTCGGTTCCAGAAACCACACCCACTTAATATTAATTAACCATCATAACTGTTAATAACTATTAATAATTACCTAATAATGACTCATTCTATTTTTAGTAGTTGATAATTAAATGGCGTTGTAAAGTAGCTTATTCCTATTGCTCAACATTTCTGCACTATCATGCCTGCATGATGTAGCATAGCACAATCATCATATGCACCATCATGCTCTTATAGCAATAGTATAAATAGAAGAGTCTTTGAGAGTGATTTAGTGAATAAGAATATCAGAGAAGGAGTGCTATGCTACTGAGCTATGGCTAAAAGATCAAGAAGCTCAGTTTGGAACTACTTCAAAAAGATAGAAGACAGCGAGTATGCTACATGTATGGTTGGAGATTGTAGCACTAAAATTAAACAAGCTCATGGAAACACAAGCAATCTACTTAAACATCTAAAAACTAAACATAGCAAAGAGCATGAAGAATGTGCAGCACAAATTGCAGCAGAAAAGAAGAAACGTGGTGAGCCAAAAGAAGTTCAACTGACACTTACACAATCTATTGAGCAGTCTCAGTACTATCCTAAGGAATCAGCAAAGAAGGCAAAAATAGATGATGCTCTCATCAAAATGATAGCCACAGATCTACAACCTGTCTCTGTAGTTGAAGATAGAGGTTTCAAAGAGTTTGTTCACACTCTTGACAAGAGATATGAAGTTCCAAGTCGTCGAACTGTGATGAAAAGGCTTCCAGAGACATATCAAAACTTAAGAAGCAAAATAATGAGTGAACTGGCTACTGTAGAGCATGTGGCTATCACTACTGATATTTGGACATCACTGCAAACAAAAGCATACTGCTGTATGACGATTCACTACATCTCTAAGGACTGGGAACTCAAAACATCTGTAATAGAGACATTTGAATTTCCAGAGGCACATACTGGTGATAATATTGCCAGTGAATTAGAAAGGGTGACAACTGATTGGCAGATTACTGATAAAGTGGTCTGTGTTGTTACAGACAATGCCAGCAACATGGTTTCAGCTATGGAAAAACAGCAGGAGG